CCCCAAAACCCCAAAACCCCAAAACCCCGTGAGGTCATATAAAAAAGAAAAAGGAATAGAAATTATAGAATTATAAAATGTCACAAGTTGCAGGACAATTTTATTCTTAGAAAATTGCTAATCAGCCCACTTCTGATTAGACCACCTCACAAAACAAAAGAATTTCTACTTTTTCCACAAATTAGCAAACAAGTAACACTGGCCATCAGAAGCATTTAAGCTCTATAAATTCGGGTGTTGGAGCATCCATATCAGCTTCTTCTCCTCAACAGCAACATTTTATGAAACCTTAACCACAGATTAAATTCAACGCCATGAGTGTTTATAATAATAAAAAGAGTAGATTCCTTTTCACACTATTAAATTCATCTCAAAAGGACTGTATTGTATGCCAAAATGGAAGTTTACAGAGTCTTTAGCATCCAGTTATTACAGCTACGCTCTCTAAGAAATATATGACAAGCCGAGAATACTATGATGCCAAAATAGTAAATGACATCATTTACAATGAGCCAACTAGACTTGTAAGTATCTTCAAAGATTATCTGATATACGATGATGTGAGTGAATTTCTCAAAAGGTCCTATACATTCGCTGAAGCAAAGGTTAGACTTCCCAAAATTTATGAATTTTATGAAAAGTATTCTAAGGTCTTCCCCAATTATGTGATCTTACCAGAAAATAAATACATGTTTAAGAATATTGAGAGAAAGCAGAGACTTATTGATGATAAGCAGAAGATAATCATGGATAAGTAATAGAAATCTAAAGAAAAAAAGAAGAGCAATATCAATAATTAGCTAGTGAAAAAAAATGACTCATTCAAGAAAAATCAACTATTCAACACTAAATTCATAGAAAGCGTACTAAATAATCATAATCCCTCTGTTATGGATGTCCTAGATCCAAATGATCTGCAGAACTCAAGATCACTCATTAATGAATACAAAAATCTAACTAAAAATTAGGCCTTTTAAAATAAGCCTCTACATGTCAAAAATATTGGAGAAGTATAGTTAGATAGATTGGTCCAGTAATTCATAAGCAAGGATTCAGAAATTTAAAATACAATGCTCAATGAATCTTTCATAACAGTGAATTTCTCACATTTTTAAAAGGAGATAGAATTGAATAACTAGAATTAGGCTAACCTGTAAGATATTAACCTAGATTAGATTCTAGCCTAAACATCTTAAGATTAGGAGAAAAAGTAACAATAATAAACTAAGACTAACCAGTAATTAGTTTAATAGAAACATATCATTAATAATCAGAATCATCAATTGACTTTATAAGCTAAACTTAATTAAAAGTACAGAATGATGAATGCAAAAACGACATAAGAACTAATTAACAAAATTTAAAAAAGCAAGGAGCAAGTTTAGACTAAATCACCTCATAGTATAAACAAGAAGATAGACTCTGATAATCCTCTAATAGTCAAAACATAGGAGATAATTTAGACTTATGGATAGCAGAAAACATTTGAAAGAGCCCCTTCAAAGCAAGATATATTAACATAGGGTCTCATGACTAACCGAATAATTGATAAATAGCCATTTGATTATATTGGAATAGTCACAAACATGAACTAATAACAGAAAAATAAGAATGTTACAAAAAGGTAAACCTCCTCAAAATCATAGAAAAGGAGAACTATATCAAATTCATCAAAACGACAACTTTAGGTAGAGAATGTGCCAGTCTATTCGAATATAGTCGGCTAATAGTAAAAACCTGCAAATAATCTAATTGGAAGTGACAATAGACTTTTCTCTCCAGTCTATGCTTCGTAAAACACGGCTAAAACTAATGAAGTAACAACACCCAGATCTTTTCTCAAGTAGAAGATCTCTTTAATTCAAGATCAAAAGTTGATTTAATCTTAAGCACCATAATCACATAGGGTACACCAATCAGAAGGCTTGACTTCTAACATCTAGCTAATTGGCAGCAGTTCTCACAGAGGGTTGCCCCAAAATAATTTAGGTTTGAATACCTTAGGAGAAAACATTTTTAATTTAAAACAAGCCTAGTCAACTCGAGAAATGAATAAAAATACAAAATAAGCTCACTAAAATGCTGTTAAGACCACTAATAAGCGATCAAGTTCTACAAATTAGCATTATCCCTAGCAAATTTAATCATCATAATCGTAATAACAGCTTATTCTTCCTTATGCCTAATAGTAGTAGGCTACATTCTTAAAGCAAAACATTTTAAATAGAGAAAAAAGCCAGTCAAATGTAAATGAACTCATAGACTAGCAACGTTTGCTTAACTAGCAATTATATTATGCTAGCAATTTCAAAAGCTCTGCAAATGAAAACATATACTCTAATACCAATGCTAATACCCTAACATAGCCCTTAATTTTCCAATAAAGTGGCAATTTTACTAGTAGAGTTGCAGCTTAAGGAGGAAATCAGAAGATTCAGCAGTTTAACTATTAATAATTTTACCCAGAGTATAACCCTGATAATAATGCAGGCAAAAAGAAATATGAGGGTAAAAGCTCAGATAGATAGCAGTAGTATTACTCTGGTAGAAATGAGAACCTTGGCTCACTCTCTAATAACCTAAACTAATGTAATTCATCATTCATCTAAAGTTATTTATATAGTACTAAGTCCTTCATAAAAATCACTAACTTAGTCTAAGCAACTATTAGCATAACAGCAGCAGGCAGCATAGCAAATAAACTCTGCTAGAGGTATACCGATACATATATAGAAAAATATAATCATCAAGAAATAAAAGTGATGTCAATTAATAATAGCTTAAGATTTAATTTTCAATTAATAATCAATTAACTAGCTAACTATTTATACTTTTCATATTTTACAAGCAAGCCCAAAGCAGTCAGAACTATTCATCTCATAAGAGGTTAATCTTGCTGGGTGGCATATTAGGAGCTATCTAGATTAGAGGTATTCTAATTGTGATCATTAGGAGTAGATCTCTAGTAATCCCTTGAAAATACTTACATTTTCTCATCATAATATCCTACTTCAACATTATCCTCAAACAGCTCTTCTTATTGAATAGGCATAGGCTGTAAATCTTCAACCATTGGAGGTGTCATAGGTGGGTTCTAATCTCCTTCATAGTATATTGGTCCTCCAAGATCATCTTATATTATCTCCTCTTCTATTTATTTCTATGGAGCAGGTGCTGGAGCCTATCTCTTTTTAGGAGTGAATAAATAAGCCAAAAGCATCAATAAGAATGCGAGGCCAATTCCACAAGCAAGACCGAGTATTATTGGAAGATCATACCTTTAAAAGCACTGATCATATTCAACACACTCTCCAAATAGACAGCACTTAGAGGCACAGTGCACATTAATGTCACAGTAGTTGCCTTTCACAAAATCATCCATCGCTTTAAGAGCTTTACAATTGTTGTTGATTTAGCATCTTTTATCAATGCAGCAATTAGAGATGCAGTCTTCATTTACGTTGCAAAACTTTCCATCCTGCAGTAATTAGCCTGATACTGAAGCAGCAGATAGAATAAGCAAAGTTAAATACAATTGCTTTCCACTCATTTAAAGTAATTATAATTATTCTTGAAACTATTGCAATAATATACTCTATCAAAATGGCTATTGGGGTTTTGGGGTTTTGGGG